GAGAAATATCTGTACTTTTTAGTCACTACATTGTGTTTAACAGCTTTATTACTAGTTTACTTCTCAGATTAAAATTTTATATAGAAAAACGTGATCAGTTTTATGGCTTGTGTTTGCTTAATAATAATTGTTGAGAATCATACCCAGCTTTCAAGAATGCTTTCAGTTATTGTGGATGCATATAGCCGACTGTATGCGTTACGTGAGTGTGGTGGTGCTTATGGGGTGGTCGGGTCCGGGACGTGTGGTGTACCGAGGGCTGGGAGGGAATCATCACAGTATACCCACTACAAGAAACTAGACTACACCACTGCATACAACATATATACATACAACATATAATATATTATTATTATATATAAATAACCTAACCTGCTCCAGACTAACGGCCATATTATATACACACATATAGAGTATATCTATATATATATCCAAAACATTGTTCTAAATGTGATAAAAATCCTGTATCTCAACCACACTGTGGATTAGTGGCCAAGTAATATACTGTATATAATTATTATGGTATAATTATATACAGTTAGTAACATTTAGGAGGATCTATTGTCAGGAATGGTAATATACTGTATATCATTATTGGTAATGCTTATATACTGTATATAATTATGGTATAATTATATTATATACAGGTGATTCTATTCTATTGTCAGAAATGGAATAGAAAATTCATAGGTATGTTTTCATTACTGTAAAATCACCTCAAAACAAGAATCATCGTGTTTTTGCTATCTTAGAATGAGCCGGTATTATTTATTTACGCCGCAGGTCTCCTTCCATGGTGTCCGCTATGTTGAACTGTCACGTTTCTACAGTAGACCAGAACAAACAAACCAAATACTGGCACTAGACAGGGCGTTTTTCGCGGGTTTTGCATCCACCATACCTTCTCCTACACACTTCATGCTTCTCATTCCCAGGTCGTCAAATACAGATGCAGGGTTCAGTTAGTTACAATCTGCAACTTCACTGTTAGATACCACGAAATCCTACGCACTGGACCTTTAAAAACAATGGTCAGTAGTCTAAATGTATATTTTTAGGCTTAATGTGTATTTTGTGGCTACTGATCAACCTTGTGATCAACCTTGTGGACTGCATCAGTAAATCTGTGTTTGTTGAAGAAAACAATGAACGTGCATTTATCCAAATTACTTGTAACCCTGGCTTCACCTAGTCACATCTCCTCAGCCTGGCTTGGCCTATGTGACATTTATACATCCAGGATGCTATGAGTGGACTACGTTCAGTTATCCCAATCCCGAATTCAGAATCCTGAATTCTGCTTTTGTGAAACAGCCCCGTGGACTGTGATTGTAATGTTTTGTCAAATACATTTACAAACATTGCTTTATGTCTCTGTTGGTCATAAAGGAAGCCCTATGAAAACAGTCTTGTTAGTTTAGTGGAAACTATGAAGTCAGTTCTGTTGTCAGTCAGGGATATGTTTGATTAATTGTCTTTTGAAACTTACACTTCCATGTAAGTCGCGTCAGCCTGATGCTATCAGCTTTAATTCAATCCATGGATAAACTGACTTGGGTGTATTTATTTATTCGTAGGCATGAATCTCATTATGTTATTTGTCAGATGTAATCTGCCATCCTGACAACTGGAATGTGTTCCAGTGAAGTGTGGTGTCACCAGGATATATGCTGTAGAATCAAATGGAAGCAGTCCTCACCCCCGTGCCGTCATTTTTCTTTTCCATCATCCTATCTTTCAAACATGGCCTCAGAGCTCGTCCCTCTTGGCTCCAGCTGGGAGGTCGGTCTGTTCACTGTGGACATCCTGCCTCTGTTAGCACCACTGCTCTGTCTGCTGGGAGAAAAAAACAACTTGACAAACTGTCATGTCTGTGCCAATGACATTATTCAACTCTTCTCTGAAGTTTAAAGATACTGACTTGTGTATGCTCACACTCTGCTTCCTGGCACCTGAACCCAACTGTTGAGACAGGTTTTGTTCTGCTTGCTGGTTTAACTACATGCTGCCTCTTTGATCTGAGGGCATTTGTTGCCGATTTATCAAAACATTTGCAAATGACAGAGGCAAATTGGCGCTTGTGAGGAGGATCACGTTGTGTCAACTGTTCCAAGACACCAAGATCTCCTGGACAGCAGAAAAACATCTAGCAGGCTAAATACATTGTAATGTCGGATGCAACAAGCTACAGCCAATGAGAGCAGACACAGCCTTCTGTCCAGCACTAGACAGGAAGCAGCAAATTGGGTAGAAAATTTTTTTTCCAATACTGTCACACACACACACACTGTCACACTACAACAGAGGCTAAGCCAGTTGAGAAGACAAAATGTAAAGTTTGTACAAAATAAACTTCATCTTTATGGATTATATTGTTGTTGACAAGAAGACTGTCAACATATGGCGCCCTTTAGCTCGTGTTTCTAGAAATACGTGTACAGACACATAAGGAATAGTTAAACTGTTATATTTCTTAAAGGGAGTTTGGTGCAGTGAGCTTTTATTATTGGTGTTAATAATCACTCTTAATGAAACGTAGTTTCGAGACCCAGAGTCCTTGTAAAATAAGTGTGAGATTTCAAGCAATCACAAGACAGATAGTTGTGTAGCGTGAACAGTACAGAGATCTAACAACTGTTAAAGTCATGTATTGTGCCCAAGGCTTTATTGGCAAAAATTCTCAGTGATTCATAGCAGGAGTTCCCAAACTTTGTCATGTCATGTCATGTCATACTACGCTGTAGGTACCACCTTTGCATCATTTCTGAACTCTGCGGTTAAGTTAAATAAATAAATATGCAATGCCCAAAACGGTTGCAGTTTGGTTCAGTTTAGGCACAAAAACTACTTAGTTAGGATTGTAAGTTAAGGTTATGTACGTTACTTATGTATGTTACATAAGTTAATGTAACTTACTTACATACATTACTTCAAAGAAATAGTTTACTTTTGGTTTCACACGGGACACAAACACGACCTCCTGGCTTCAAGTCCTGTGTTCGTTTGTTTTTTTCCACCCCACCTCCCCCATATTCCAACTTTGTTGCTCTTTATACTTTGTCAAGTGTCTTCAACAACAGCCACATCCTGCCGTTGCCTAGTGCTTGCTCATGGTGGGAAGTACGGTCTAGACCTGCTCTTATTTAAAAAGTGTCCTGAGATAACTTCTGTCATGAAATTGGCGCTATACAAATAAAATGTAATTGAATTGAACTAGAAAGATACCTACAGCATCATATTTTGAAGTAGAGGGCCACTGACCAAGCTGCAGTAGTTTTTGCCTGTGATCTATTACTGTTCCTTTTAGCATTTCTTCTTTCTTCCTCTGTCAATTCTTTTTTTTCCCTTTGCTGATCTGGCCCCATTATCAGCCATAATCTCCAAAAAATAAAAATTCTCTAAAGAAAAATTTCCTCCTGCTTCCTTTTATTTTGGCTAAGGTGCTACTCACTGCCAAACTTTGCCTGAGAAAATGTAAACTCTTCCTGTTTGCGTGCTATCAATTGTTTAATTTTACAGGGAATCCAACCTGGTTGCAGGCAGTAAGAATATGGCTGAATAGAAATATTCTTCTCACTGATGGTCTTGTTTAGGTCATATATAGACATCAGTATTAAACTGAGACTGTTTGATAAACAATTGTAGTAACTTTAACTCAGATGTCTTCCTCTCAACAGCTATTAAATGTACAATTTTCTTGCCAGTGTTTCCAGATATTTTCTCCCCTTTATGTCTGCTCAGCTCTACTAATAGCTAACAGTGTTAAAGAAACAGCCGGGGGAGAGTCCACAGGTTCTGAGCTGGATTATGGACTCGAAAGTAAGCAACACAAGATGTTTGGTTCAGGGGTTGGAGCACTACAAGGGAAGCAGAAACTCTCCCCTCTGAGCTCGTGTTTACTCAGGAGCTGAGCCTCCAATCATCTACTTTTCTGAGGAAATAAGGCTGGGATTATTGGTGGAGGCTCAGTTCATTAAAGATCCCCTACAGATATGTTTAAGACATATAAAATGCCCTGCTTTGAATGATAACTTATAATACCATTAAACACTCTTAAAATCAAACAGACAATAATTAATAAATAGTACCTAATGTAAATGGTCAGAAAGCGGAATATTATGTCCAGAGTATGAACTCATTACTCAGAAGCATGGTGTACCATTTGTGTTGACAGAAAATTGATTATATTTCTGAGCATATATCTACTTCTACAAATAGGTTTACAATTCAAATAAATGTCAAGCCATCTTAACCTCATAAAATAATACTTAAGGATTACATCTGTTCCAACATTCTGAACATGGAAACAATAAGAAATAATGATATGTCATGAGTAATCAAATTACTTTTAGATTTTATCAGAAAGAAGACACCAAGACTGTAGATAGTCAAATAACTGCTCATGATTTTTAAGCCGCTGCATATTCATTAAAAAGCATATAAGCACTGTTTCATTGTTAGCATACTTACTGTAGTTAGGCTTTTTGGAGCAGAATACTAAGTCATATTGTTCACCTCCACACTAAGGCTGATGTGATGAGGGGGAAAGTAGATAGACAAGTTGAAACAACACTGAACTACACCATAATTGGAATAATGGAACAGCAATGATATGTACAGGCTTTCAACAGGTTCAATTTAAGATTTTTTAAGACCATTATGAATGTAAGATCTAGTATTTAATACCGATACTGGCAAAAGAAAAAAGAAAAAAAAAAAAAAAAATACTATTGTGGTTCCATGTTGGTTTTGTAGTTGTTACACCCGGATACAAATACTCCCCCAAAACACATTTAAAAGTGATACAAGAAGTTAACTTGATTAATCCAATTCATTGAGACCTTTGAAAATCCTATTTGACCTAAAATATAGATTATTGGAGTTGGACTTTTTAAGTATGTAGTAAATGGGCTGAAACACTGGTATGGTCCTAACCTCTAACTTCTGCAGTGTCCTGCTTTGTACTAAAATCAGAAAATGAATTGACAGGAAGTCACACATTCAATATAAATACAACTTTTATTGGCTTTAACTGCAATCTGTAATTACAAAAGGAACCACAAACTAAGTAATTACTGTAGTAACAGCAATGGCTGCTTGAAAATACATTCAACAGTTGCTTTTCATGTGTCAATCCTGTTAACCTACACAAGACATTATAGGCTTTTATCTGCTATCACAGACAAATATGAAGGCACAGCATTTGAGATATATGGAATGTATTTGAAGGCACTTCATGGGGAAAAAGTGGTTGAAAATAAATTTTACATCATCATCATGACTCAAAGTGCTAGCTAGTAAGTCTGTGCTTGATACTGCTTCTATTGTCTTTTCAAAATAATAGCTTAAAATGTTTTTTTTTTTTTTTTTTTTTAAGAGCAAAACTGATTCAGTGGTTTTGATAATCCAATGAGAATTTCTCCCCGTAAAAGACACTGACATGAGGACAAGACTGTTTCAGATCTGGTCCACATTCTAGAGAAGATGCTGCCCAGAACTGCAGAATGGACGAGAGGTCTAAATGGAAGCTATGGTTAATCTGTAAATAAGATGTTTGTAAGGTGCAGGTGGGAGATTTAAACAGGGTTCTAAGAGATCAATCAAATTCAATAGATCAATATTAGTGTTGTCCGTTTTGAATATTGTGCTGTTCGAATTACTTATGCAGATGCTCTGTAGAGAACTGTTCTGCACTGACGCTGGTATACTTGAAGGATAAAAAATAAACACACTGAATGTATTGAAGAATACAAAAATATTTTCCCCAAACATTTGAGTGCAATTTACAAGAACTGTCAATAAATATAGGCATTTATATACATTCACAATGAATTTCACAATTCAGAAACTACAGCTGTTCCAGTAAGTATAGACCCTGTGTGCACAGATAACAGTGTGAAGCAGAGCTACAGGGAAGCTGCTCTAGACGCAAACACAAGGGCTGCAACAAACAATTATATTCATTATCCATTAATCATTTAATTATTTAGTCTATAAAATGCCTAAAAATCGAGAGAGAAAATTTCCCAGAAGCCAAAGTGACTTCTTTGCTTCTTTAGTCCAACAAACTGCAAAACCCAAAGACCCTACCTATACGACCATAAATGACAAAAAAAGATGCTTCCAGCTTCTCAAAGGATTTTTTTGCACATTTAAGTTGGAATTTTAAAAATATTTTCTACAAATTTTCTTTCAGTCACCTCATCGTTGCATTTCTAGCAGACACACTGGCTAGAAAGGCAGCGAATCCTCTCTTGCAGTGTACTTCAGAAGAAGGCGCATTGTGCAAGAACCCTGTTAAACAAGCACCACCTGCACCCTGAGTGCATTAATACTTATGCCAATAGCTTAATTACCTGATTAGTTTGCAATCACACGATTAGCTTTTTTCATCATTTGAACTTGATTATGGCAGCTGCAGAGCCTCACCCCCTCACTGGGAGGACAGGGATGTTGACTTTGACACTTCCGACTGCAACAGAGAGCCTCAACCTGCAGTCAAACATGTGGGAGGAGCAAACAATAAATACAAACACTAACCTTTTGCGTTTTAAATTAAGATTTGCTTTCAAAATAAATCAAGTGTTACAAAAAATGTAATTGCAGTATAATATATTAACTGTGAAAAAATAACAAAAAACAGCTTGTCAATTAATAAGGAGGATCATAATTTAACATAAAAGAAAATATATATTCTATTGTTTCATTAAATATAAAATAAAAATGCTTAAGATCAACAATAAATACATTTTGATAAATAAGCAGTAAGCCAATGCCTGAAGGCTTTGGGAAATAACCTAGACAATAATAACAACATAATAATATTATTGAACATGGTGGAATCATTCAATTTCAGACAGCTGGCTGAGACGTCTCTTCAGACAGAACTGATGCTGGTTGGATAGGTGTGAAGCCAAACTGCTGATGTTCGAATTATTAAAACAAAAGGCGGCAAATTAACACCAGGAACCTGCCAGCTGCTGGTAAACATCTGCTGAAAATCAACACCTATTGTCACCTCAGCGTGAACAGCTGTCATTGAAACTACCAAGACACACTGTTTACACCTGGGATTAATGTGCGTCCTGAGTGATCGGATCACAAGTGTACAGCTGTAAATACAGACGCATGGTAATCAGATCACTCAAACAGTTGCTGAGGTGGTCCACATATCTTTTGTAGTGTAAACGCTAATGCGGCCTTCTCAACTGACCTCCAGTAAGCACGCATGAAGAATGCTGTCCATTTGGTTTGTGTTTGAGCTCTCCTGCCTACCAAGATGAGCAGCAGATGTCTGTGAAACGCTGTCTAGAACAACTTGAGAGAGTTGGTAAACATTATACATTACTTTATTTACCCCTAATTCCTTTCTTTCTGTAAAAAAAACATTGTGTCTGATTGTCCCAGCTTGCTGGCTGGCTTTTACCTTCTATGACTGTCACATCAAAGATGACTAAGAATGCCACACAGTCAGAGAGAGTAAAAGTGTGTATTCTGCTGTTATAAAGTTAAGTTATAAAATCACCACAGACTTTAGTGACGCTGAACTGAAAAAAAAGGAACGAATAATCAAAGCTTAGTATTAAACCAGTCACAATGGCAGTAATAATGGACAATGTGAGTAGGGTAGAGCCCTACACTGATTATTTGCATAAAGAGTGGGGAAGTGAGATTCATTCACAGGTGGTCACCTGAGACAAGTGGAGAACCATTTTGTAACCAGCGTACTTGTAATCAGATCACCCAACACTTTTTTTAATAGCAGGTGTAGACAGGGCCATAGTCCGTATGAAAACCGTATTCAAAGTGTTCTGTGGACAATCCAAAGTGAATGGACACTGATTTGGAAGAGATGTTGCTGTTGAAGTGATTTAAGTTTATGCCTTAATGCTGTGAGCATAAATTTAATTCAACCAACCTCCACTGTATTGGGATAGAGAGAGAGATAAATAAAATTCAAACTGTCTGCATGGCTGAGAGAGCAAGAGGTAAGCGTGAGAATACTTTCTTGGAATTTGTGTAATTCGGCTGAAATGACTCCAAATTCAGGTCATTTTGAATCCTGTTCATAGTGCATTCAAATCTCTGGTGAGACCATTTCACTCTGCAGCTCAACCAAACAGTTCAATAATCAAGGCACACAGCACCAGCAACACACTAGTGCAGTAGACACACCCCGTACAGAACACACACACACTGACCTCACTCCTACTCCTACTGCCCATAATAAGTAATATTAAACTGCTTTATAATGTGATATCTGAGCTACTGTTCACATTAATTCCAGTG